GCCCGCGCACACACCAGATACACACGCACGCACGCCCGCGCACACACCAGATACACACGCACGCCCGCGCACACACCAGATACGCACGCACGCCTGCGCACACACCAGATACGCACGCACGCACGCACACACACCAGATACGCACGCACGCCCGCGCACGCACGCCCGCGCACACACCAGATACACGTGCACGCACGCGCGCGAGCACACACCAGATACACACACCAGATACGCACGCCTCCCCCCACACACCCAGCCTACGACTCGTCTGCTTGCTCTCTTGCAGGCGGAGAATCTGCTGCTAGACAAGGACATGAACATCAAGATCGCAGACTTTGGCTTCAGCAACGAGTTCACGATCGGCAACAAGCTCGACACGTTCTGCGGCAGTCCACCGTACGCAGCACCCGAGCTGTTCCAGGGTAGGTAGCAGCGAGCCAGAGCTGTTCCAGGGTAGGTAGCAGCCCCTCTCACTCACACCTGAGCTGTTGCAGGGTAGAAGGTAACAGGCGGGGGGCCCGGCAGACGAATCCTCGTCGTCGTAGCCGGTCATGAGATCATGGCGTTGCCCGGAGGTCGGTGTGCACGCGTTCTGACCAACCTCTGCCGCCGTCATCGTCATGGTGGTGGCTGACGTGGTGCAGGGAGGTACGCGGACGCTGCTCTGGTACATGCAGGCGTGAGAATTTTCCGCGCATTCGCGGATTTCCGCGTTTTGGTTTTTATTTTAGTCATTCTTGAGATTGATGCAAAAAACTAATAAACATTTTAGGGGGGTAAGGTGCACTTTTTTTGTCAAAATGGGTGCCATTTTTAATTTAAACTTCATAAAAAGTATTTCACACAGAAGTAACGGAACTCCAGATAAATATCAAGGTGTATCTATGTAAATAAAGGCATGCTTTAAGTTAACCGTCACATAAAACATTGAAATTTTCATAGAAAATGACAAGACTGAATTGTTAGTCACGAAATTGGTTTTTTACTAAGAACAGAATGGACTAACAATTTCCCCAGAATGCATGGAAATGGCCTATCTGCCCTATCCAAATTTCAAAAATTTCCTGGGGTGGGGGGCATGCCCCTGACCCCCTAGCAAGACAGTGTGCTACGCACACTGTTATCGTGCCTTCGGCACGAATTGAAATATTTCCTCCAAAAATATCTCAACCTGTTCTCATGCCTGCACATGAGCCCACACCAGCACGGCTGTCACATGCGCGGCCGATTCTAGGCAGGCGACACGCGATCCATGCTGCAATGGTGCTGTGTGTTTTGCGTTGTTGTGGTTGTGTCTAGGCTAGGCAGGTGACGTGCGA